AATAAGATGAGTTATTGAACACAGATGTTAATGAATGTAAAGAGTAGAAAGCGTGTAAATGTCTAGAATGCAGTTGGAAGCATACATGAGGAAGGTATGAGAGTAGTTGTACCGGTGATCTTGCTTATATGAGATACCATGATACTTGCATTAATATGTTTTCTATTTTTTTTTTTTTATTTGACTATTTATTTATTTATTTATTATAAATGATGGCAGGTAAGACAGTTGGCAAAGGTAAATTCTCATGGGTGCCATATGGATTATTTTCTTGAGGTTAGCAACGGCTGGAGGTAGAGCATATCTCGTATATAAGTATAGCTGGAGGGTAAGTTGGTCCTTTGACTTATTTATTTATACTTAATTGCTTCATTGATCTTATATCACATGGTTTGATATTCACTTTCTGGGAAAGGATTTCGCTTAGTTTGTATATAATTGTTTCTTGAACCTGAATTGGAGCACGGTCTGTTCTTAGTTACTTGACCGCTTTTGTTGCCTTTATCCATGAAATTTATATCCTTATGATATAATAAAAAAGGTTAAAAAGGAAAACTGTTTGAAACTCTTATAGTTTGTTTGGAAAAAAACATGAAGTATAAAAAATTAAACCACAAATTTGCTCAAAATATAGCGGTTTTTGTGTAATTTCCCTTTTTTTTTTTTAAAAGTTATTAACTAATTTTTATTTTGCAGGCTGCTATGAATCTAGGACCATCGATCATCAAACTCAGTCAATTCCATTCCACTACACCATACGTCAATTTTGGGTATTGCTTTGATTTGGATTTTGGTTCCCAATTTTATTGAAAGGTTCCTGATTTTCTTCTTTTTTCCTTCTGATTTTGCCTGTAAAAGCTCTATGACGATTTATATAAGATCTATAATATTGTTTTTATTTTATTTTTTATTTTTTCTGTTCATAACATGAAGCTCGGTCCAAATGGGGGGTTTATGGTTGTCTGTGGTGACAATGTTCCATTTGTTGGTTCTACGGAAGCCACTTGAATTACCTCTAAGAGGCATTTTTGTTTTTTTGACAATGAAGCTCTTCATCCAGGTAGTGCCACTAAGATCCTTAAGTTTTCAAGTTCCTATTTATCTTTCTTTACAGTTTACACTGATTTTTTTTTTTTTTTTTTTTTGGTTTTGAAGGATTTACCACAGATCTTCGCTCATTGATTGAAGTTACGGGTTATTGTTATTAATATAGGTCAATGATGGCACAGATCTCGATCTGCCTCTTTATGCTACCACTTCTTTAGGTTCACTAGAAAATTTTGCATATTTTACTCCAGTTTTCTTAATGAGTTTGTGTTATCTCATGATTTCTTTAATGGTATTGTATGTATAGGTTTTGCTATCTTGAATTTATTAGTTCAGAAATCTCAAGGAAGAGATGATGGTGAAATTATCCAAGTTTAAAGCCTGAACAATCAGCTTAAAGGTACATTTTCCATTCAGATCACTTTATCAAGAGATAAAAAAAAATGAAAAAAAAAGAAAACTGATTTATTCTTTTTGGTTAACTTATGTTTCATGTATTGATATATAAGGTCTTTCTTGTGTTAATTGGTTGGTTTTGCAAACATTGTTCTTAAAATTTGTTAGTATTCGGCTGACTAGCAACGGTATTTTGTGTTTTTTAGGGTTTTGTAGAATTGTCTTATTCTTATGATGTTTATCTTTGCATTTGCATTTTATGGGATCTCATCACATCCTTAATTACTTTATGTGGTTGTAGGTGTAAGATAATCTGTCTACCTTAATTTTTGTTTCATAATCGTGATTTTTTCAATTATTTTTTAATGCAGGAAAAAGTTACTGATGTTGGTGGCTAGATTGAGCTGCCCATGATAATAAGAAATTATTTAAAGTGAGTTTTGTTCATCTGTTTTTCTAACAGTTAATTATGCTCCTCTTGTGAGTTTTTTTTTTTTTTTTTTTTTTTTTTTTTTTTTTTTTTTTTTTAACGGATGGTAATGTTAAAGCTCATGTCCCTCTCATGAGTTAATGTATTCTATCTTATTTTACAGCACTTGTCAGCTTTAACACCAAAAAAAAGTGAGATTGTGTTTCTGGGTATTAATTGCTTCCCTCCTTTGTCATATTAAGCATTTTTAAGTCTCACATCTATAAGTTTGTGAATAATAAACATTGGCCTAAACTAAATATAGTTGTTTGATTTTCAATTCATGATCCTTCTGGTGGTAGGTCGGCTGAAAAGGATGTAGATCCAGCACAATTATCAAGAGAACTTATGAGAAAAGCTTCATCTTTAGTTGAGGCTGAGGAGGTATCATCATTTTATTATAATATTTAGTCGTACAAATGATATGCTTCTTTTCTTTTTATGATTTCTTAGTATCTAATAAACACAGTCGTTACTTTCACCTTGTAATTTGCAGTGTTTATCCCAATTAATTTGATTCATTTTCATCTTCATTTGATGGAAAATATTATTTCACTTGGAAATGTTGAAGTTAAATCTGAAGGATCAAGACTCAAATTACTTGACTTCGGTTTGATGTTCTCTGTTTTGGGCTATTTTATATGCTAAATTGCCAAAATAATGTGGTGATCATATCATGGAATTGTTTGATAAGAACATATGCATAAAATTTTAAATAGAATATAAAAAAGGTAATTTTGCATATCATTATATTGCTACTACCATTTGTTGAAATTTTGGCCCAGGAACAATACACATGAAATATAAGTTATAATTTTAGGTAAAAAAAAGTGACAGATTAAGATGTAACTCTCTTCCGCATAGCAAGGAGAATATGTTGGAAAGGTGTCAAATTTTTGTTACATACTTATACTTTTACGAAGATGATGATATTACACCAAGGTAATAAATTATAGTTTAATTTTTTTTTTTATCATTATATTCATGATTTACATGGATAAGTCTTTTTTAGAGAGCAGTTAATGGAGTCTATATCAACAAAAGAGTGTTGAAGTGGAGTTAAGAAGAAATCCAGACCATCGACATGTTTGTTCTTATTTGCTCCTATGGTCGTATTATTGCTCTTATGCATCATTTCAATTACGTTACACAATATTCTTCATTGGAAAACTCACATTTATAAGGCATTATCTCCGGTTCACATGTATAGATACCTCAAAAACAAACCCAAACCGGATGTTGGAAATTTTTTTAACGGGGCATCTTATTATGCATCACAGGTAAGCGTTTTTTATATAAATACAACATTGGTCTTATTTTGTATAAATATAAAATTTTCATTTTTTGTTACTTTTATTTCCAGGGTCGGAAGCTATGTTTGCTGTTCTTGGACACTTTTCTCAGTTGCCTATCCAGGTTTGCTGATCTTGATTTATTTTTAAGCGTTAATGTTAGAAAAATAGCAATGTACTTTTATAAGTTTATTCAGGAAATATCTATTTTTTTCAAATAGCTTTTACATCCTTTACTTTTTGAAGTTAATACTTGCTGCTGATCAAGAAAATCAAAAAAGATATAAAAAACCTTCCCGAAGACAAACATCCATATATCTAATATGTTTCTTTGTCTTATAACCTTTTGATATTTTGCTGTGTTGCAGTATTTTGTTTCATCTTTTGATATTTTGCTGTCTTCAAAGTATTTTGTTTCGTGATTCCATATGTAAGACATCTCCAAAAACCTATGTATGTTAACTGTTTATCAATATAATGCTATATTTCAGCACTACATTTACAAGTTAAAAGAAAGAAAAAATTTCTGAATCAGCGCCAATAGGCACGCTTGATTCCATCTAGTTTACTATCAAAATCTAACCAATTGCCTGCAAAATTATACTCCAAATCGTAAAATTATAGTTTCAAAATCCACCCTTTTAAGACAATGTAGTTTTAATACATTCTACTTAAGAATCTAAACTTGTTTAACCATGGTTACCAATTATAACATTATACTTTATATTTATTTTATTTTTCATATTAAGACACCATAGCTATTCATCAACAATCAATTTTTTAGTTTTTAACAGGCTTTGAGTAATTATAGTTCTCGTGTGTTAGTGAGTAATAAATACACTGTCAAATTCTTCATTTCTCTTATTGGAAGTTGCATGTTTCCACAGAATTGAATCTCACTCAATAAAATGTTTAAGTGAATGAAGCTTCATTGATTTAAATTTAGTCTTGTAATGTTTTCTTTGTTGATTTTCATATTAAAAATATTAATTTGTTTTGAATAATGGCAACAAATAAGGTTAATTATGCCTTCATGTTAGGAAATTACCATCTTCTATCCACTGATTACTATCTGACAAAGCATGGAAGCGATATGCAGGTAGCTATGATCCTATGACCCTGTTTGTGTATTTCCAAAAATATCCCTCATTTTCCTAAATTATGTGCTTATTTATTACTTCGGGAAATGGTGTGGTTTGTGGTGGGTTGAAAAGTTAAAAACAAGTGGGTGATGGAAAGAGGTAATAAACAATTCTCTTTTGTTAATAGAAATATTTTATACAAGAATTTTGTTTAAAAAAACTTCAATTTTTTGCAGGAACCTCTTCATTCGGCTATGATGCTTAAACAATCTTTTTATTATCGTTACTTTTTATCTAAACCAAACCAAACCAAACCAAACCAAATCAGTTATATTAAGTATGGATTTCATTTTTAAAATCAACCATATTAAGACATTGTTTTAATTTCTTATTTCTAGTAAGACCATGTAATTCTAATTTCTTTACCATTAAGATTTTTTTTTTTGAAAACCTAACTACTTATATTATTATACTTTCAAACTCCAACCTATTAAGAAGTTGTTTATTTTCCTGTTAATTTGAAGGCTAAACTTGATTAGCATTATACCTTCACTTATTTTCTATTAAGATTGTACTCTCAGTTTTAACATGATGCTATTTCTTATGGAATTATACCTTTGAAATCTAACATATTAACACACACTTGACATATTAGTATTTAATATATTTTTTTTCTTTAATATCACTACAAGAATAAGGAACTATAGAGACGAGATGTACAGAGACGACAAGTGTCGTCGTTATAGACGCCCTACAGAGATGACATATCGTCTCCATAGAGTTTAGAATATATTTTTTTTGGCGTTTGCTACTACAGCGGTCTGAACATGTAAAGCGGGTAAAAAAAGGCGCGATTTGGGGAAGATTATAGGGACGACTTGTCGTCCCCACAACTTTCTATGCCTTAAATCAGCAGACAGTCTTCTTCGTTTCATTCACACACACTCAATTATCTGTCTATGTCTCTCTCATTTAAGATCGGAGATTCTCCCCTCCCTAATTTCGACCATTATCTTCTTTGGTGACTTCCTCACCTCCCAGTCCATGCGAATCTTCATCCTCTCTCTGTAGATTCTCATGCTAATTGTCGAAAGCCACCATCGGCTCAACAACTACAATTTGTTTCAACATCGACGATTCTGACTATCGCCTTCCTTTTCACATCCGTTTACCAATTCTATCGAATACAAGCCCTAATCCGGCTACCAGGTTAGTAAGTCTCTGTTTGAAACTGTAATTGTGGTGTATGTTAGCAATTATGTGTTTGAAACTGTAATTGGGATATAGGTTAACGATGATGACGACGAACAAACTCAAATTCAATACAGATTTGTTTTCAATATTGCTCTGTACGTTTTCTTTGGCGGAAGCAAGGTTATTGTATTTTCAAAAGGCTTATTTCTGAAGGTTATCTGACACCATACCAAAAATCCAGGTAGGTTGTAGGCGAAATATTATTGTTAAATCTCATCTTTGTTTTTACAAGTCTCAATGACTTTGTGATCTAAACAAAGTGAGCCGAATTCCTGTGGATTTATTGTATGTACAACTTATGATAAGTTACATTTCACTAGAAGAGAAAGTTAAGCTGGATGAATTTAGCACAAGAAATTTTTAATTGAGCATTTTGTTCGTTTTTGCTTATAGAAAAATTTGGATGCTTTTTATTTTCTTTGCAGGGAGGTAGGGCTAGGGTGTTCATGTACCAAAAGGTACATACATAAGTAAGAAAACAAATGTCCAATGTCCCTGCTTTCATTTATGTAGGAATTTAACTGGGGATATTGCTTGCATCATTATCTTCATATTTTTTTTTTATATTTTGATCATTAGTAAGAACTACTAAATAGGATAAATCGAGTGCCTTCTCATATGAGTTGATAAGCATGCCACTCCAAAGTGTAATTGTTTCACTAATCTTGATTTCGACTTTTTTGTGCAATTCAGACTGAGTAGGCATCAGTAGATGATTTGATAGAATTTTGGAACAAATTGTTGCTTTTTCACATGAAGGTATAAGACTCTGATTCTTTTCTTCATCTTTTCCTTTCTTTTGGCAACAACTTTTCACATGAGGATCTTTCCTTAAAATGCAGTAACCTCCATCAAGGCCAAGTGGGAGGGTGCAACTTGCAAATGAGTCTGCTGAAACATCAGCATTCTCCCCATTGATTGGAAGAAAAGTGAGAACCAGATGGCCTGATGACAACAATTTTTATGACTCTGTTATAACAGATTACAACCTCATTGAGGTAATTTGATCTTGCTTGCAGCTCCACCTCCAAATTTTATGCTAAAAAAATATCTTGATATGGCTTTTAGGGTCGACATGCACCAGTTTATGATATTAGTACAGCTAATGAGACATGGGAGTGGGTTTATCTTGCAGAGGTAAGTGTAGGAAGTAAAAATCTAGGTCCTAAATAAAATGTTTAAAAATATTGTTTGATAATTGATACTTGATGCAGATACAGGTGTATATACAATGGGAAGGGGAGGATCCTGGGATTCCTCATAAAGGGGGTTGGATTAGGTCCAGGTGGAGGTGGAGGGGGAGGTAGGGGTAGAGGGTTGCCTAAAAGTTAAGCAGCAACACTAATAAAAGAAGGGCTTAGACATTATTCAGCACACTCATACTCTAATAAAAGAGGTAAATTGCAGATAACTCATTGTATTCTATTTACAAGAAAGGAATTTTAACACAGGTTATAACTCATGTCATGTGCGTGCAACACAGGTTGAGAGGGTATTTGGGTCTACTTTTGAAGCATGTGGACAACAAAAATTATAAAAGAGCATGTATGTACTTAACAAGTTCAGCAAGGTAAACTACCACGTTTAAATGAATCAATTTTCTATACATAATGTCATCTATTTGTTGTTTGAAACTTGGAGTTTCAGTTTCATAAATCATTTTTCTATACATGTGTACCTGGTTTGCATTTCATGGTCATTGGAAAGTATAATCTGATAGAAAGAGTTTATTATATATGCTTAATTTGTACTTGGTTTGTATGTTTCAGGTGTGGATGTGGTTATGCAATTAAGTTTTCTTGAACACACCACACCCTTTGGATACTTTGAGAGACTAGTGTGCGTATCAAATTGTATGAACTCTTAAACAATTCAAAATTATTTTGTATGTTTTGGTAAGCAATTGTATAAGATATTCAAATGTTTTGATATTATTGTATGATATTTTAGAGTTTTTAGTTAAATTTAGTGTTTTTACTCTTTTGTGATTGAGAAAAGTAGAAAAATATACCAAAAATAGGAGTTGAATGTAAATTCTGTATAATATCTATGGAGACGACATTTTGTTGCTATATAGATGACAACCAGGATCCAACAACGACAACATCTCGTCTCTAAAAGGTACCTATGGTGACGATATATATAGCGACGCCAAAAAAGATCTATTGCGACGGGGCTATAGCGACAAAGAGCTATAGGGACAACATGTCGTCGCAGCCACCTATAGGGACGACTTTCTAATTTTCCCTTATACATGTTCATATCTGTTTATTATTCTAATGTTCTGATTTGTTAAATGTGCAGACACTTGAGATTCTTCATTTGTTAAAGCAGATCAAGGAGAAGCTGAAAGAAGTTTGATCAAATTCTTTTGGTAGCAATTAACAATTTTAAACAGTACAAAATGCAATTTTATAATTTAAACTAAGACAAATAGTACAGTTCCTTTATGATAATTACATATTACCTCCGTTCCAAATTAATTTTCCACATTTGACTTTTGAAGTCTTTATTCTTCAACTTTGACCTCAAATGATAATACTTGATGCAAAATAATATATGAATGGATTGTATTTTAAATTTCTTTTCATTGTTATAAGCTTTATCAAGTAATATATAACACAAATAAAAATATTTAAAGTCAAAGTTGAAGAAAAAAGATTTCAAAGTCAAAAGTGGACAATTAATTTGGGACGGAGGGAGTATATTAAAATGGAAAAAATACCATAGGAACGAAATTCGTTTGATTCTGTTTTTTTTTAATTGCAAAGAAAACATGAATTCTGACGGATTGATTCATTAGTTTTTAGGCCGCCTTTTTCCTCTATGGATTTCCATCATGGTTCTTGAATCTTTACTTTTAAGTCCAACTGAATTTTGGAAAAAAAAAAAAAACTTATATCAGATTGTGTATTGTTCCTGATATGAGGCACATAAATATATATTTTTTTTATCAAGAAGTGTTGCACTGATAATGTGCTACCTAGATTAAAATGTCTTATATTTTCTGGATTTGTGTCTTATCATCTGGTATGTTACATTCTTTTGTGATCTACTACTCTTTACTTCTATAGTCAGGTTGCTGGTTTAGGTCCAAGAGCTATGGAATATTTTTGCAAATTTGGTCCTTATTTTATGGTTTCTCAATTGCTTTTTGTACCTGGGTCATCCCCTAGATGTTAAACAACATGTCCTTGTCTTCGTCTCTTTCTTTTTCATTTTCAAGGAGCATGATGAAATTTCAACAAAATTTCTCTCTTTCCGAATATGTTGAAGGAGCATAGCTGAACACTAAATCCTTAAAAATAGTGTCTTTTTGAACACTCTCATTTCATTGTTTGATAATACTATGTTTGGTCTCTTGTTCTCAAGCTTAGCAGCCCGTATGTTAAATTTATGATAATGACCATTTTACATTCATCTCTTCCATTTCCATGTTCAGGTATCATAAATTACCCCCAACAAAATTCATCACTTTTCTTAAAAATTATCTGTCATACGTGCAAGGAGCATAATTATATCCTAACAATCCCAGAAAAGATTCTTCAAAAGAAGAACATTTTTTTGAAATTTTGGTACTCATTTCATGGTTCCATAACGTTTTCCTTAATGAGGATTCAGACTGGTTATTAGGTATTGCACTTACAAAATTTCTTAGCTTAGGAAATGACACGTGTCAATAATGGTTTATTTTATCATAATAGGGATATTTAGAATATAGAAGGGTATAGTTGGAATTTCATTTTGATGAAAAATGGTTTGTAGAGTGTCCATAATGATTCTTTTATTAAGATAGAAGCAGAAGATTAGTTTTTTTTAAAAAACTAATAAGCTAGTTTTAGAAACGAACACCCACTTGCAAATGTTCCAAGTTAAATATACAATTTTGAACAAAGGAGAGGGACGATTAGTTTTAAGTAGTTTATGGGTGCCATTTGTATATCAATGCAGCGTAAATAATACAAGGCTTGTTATAGAGAACAAATGTGCTGATGCTTTCGAGTTACATCAAGTGTATGCTACTCCTGAAGCCGATCCGCTTAAGAACTCGTCAGATTTCCCAATATGCTTCCGCGGCTTCACAAGAATTGTCTGCACCTAAAGCGGTCTCCACGACACCACCAAAGGGGCTTAATTTCTACATCTCTACCCTCCAAACCCGTGCCTCTGTTGATCAACTTCATAAACTTCACGCTGAGATTCTCAAGACTCACTTTTCCCGGAACGTATTCCTGTTGACACGTCTAGCTCATGCTTACCCCAAATTTGGTTGCCTGCATATTGGAGAAAGATTTGTTGTCAGCATCATCAAGAACCCACCTTTGTTTCTTTGAAATGAGAGGATCAAATGTTATGCAAGGAAAGGTCGTTACAGAGAGTCAATCGATCTTTATTATGAGATGGTTTGAAGTGGATACAAACCGAACGCCTTCACGTTTACATTTGTGCTGCCCGCTTGCGTTGGGTTGAAGTCGGTTAAAGATTGTCGGAGGGTTCATACAGATGTTTTGTGGTTCGGTTGCGAGTATAACGAGTTTGTTATCACCGCTCTTATTGACGTCTATGGGAAGTGCGGCAATTTAAGTTCCGCACGCCAACTGTTCGATGAAATGCTAGTGAAGAAAACCGCAAGCTGTAACGCCCTGTTGGCTGCGTTTGTACTGGATGAGAAGTTCGATGATGCCTTATCACTCTTTAATGAAATGAAGAAGTTGGGGATCCCATCAGATACCATTACCATGGTTAGGGTACTTCAATCATATGCCTCTTTGGGTGCTTTACAACAGGGAAGATGGGTGCATGAGCAAATAATAAGGACCCAAATGGTGGTGAACGTACAATTAGGTTCAGCTCTGATTAACATGTACGCTGGATGTGGTAGCATAGAAGAAGCCCATCATGTGTTTGAAGAAATGCCAAAAAAAGATCTCATCGCGTGGACATCAATCATATGTGGGTATGGAATGCATGGTCTTGCCCATCTTTCAGAATCTCTTTTCCTTCGTATGGTGAGTCATGGTCTAAGACCTGATGCCATAACATTTGTTGGAGTTTTGTCAGGTTTTAGTCACAATGGCATTGTAGAAAAAGGGTGGTATTATTTCAAGAAAATGCCATAACATTCTCTCTCTCTCTCTCTCTCTCTCTCTCTCTCTATATATATATATATATATATATATACCCAAGATGAACACTTCATCTTCTTCATCTCTTCCTTCTTAATCAAAACTCCACATCTACCCACCGAATTATCATCTACAACAACTGCTATAGTAAAAAAATATGTTACATTCGACGTCGGTAATACCAACAAACCCGGATTTCATGAACTCAATTTGGGTTCACCTGTTTCCCCCTTACGACCTGGACCAGTTGCTAGCTGTAGCTCAAGCTCATCTGGTTCGGTAACAGTTCGGAATGAAAATAGAATTCAACTTCGATAAGCTTCTAAAAAGATAGATTCGGGTCGAAAAGTCTCAAAGTACAACTACATCGACCCACCAACTTCTCTATACAACTATTGTCTCCATCTTCACAGCAGCAAGAAACCAACCCCCACTATCGGTTTCTTTGACATACGGATCTACAAATCTCATCATCTCGATTTCATTTTGAGTGGACCTTGGTCGTGGATTTTGAAGATTGTTCTTTGGAGGTGGCAACAAAGATGAATTTAAATCGATAATTGGGTTCAAGAATACAAGTTCAAGCTCATGGCAAATTTACTTGACATTTCAAGATGATAATACATTTAAAGAAGTGGGTTTTCAACTTACTTTAGCTAAATTGGTGTGAATGTGTGATTTTGATTATCATATATTCAAGAATAAGATAAAATTTATTGATGTTTTGAAGCAGCAAATGTTTAGATTTGCCACATTTGTGTTTCCCGAGACTGCGAAGGAAATTTTAACACAAGTAAATCCACATGTTGTATATGAGCACCAGATGCTTGTTAAGCCATGCAGAAAAGTATGTCTATTCCAGATACTTTATCTACTTGTCATTCGTTATAAATGTTTTATCTATTGCCTTATGATTCGTAATATACCAATTTATTTAAGTAGCATAAGCAACAAACCCCGTTGAGTCGTTTGATCACATATTACTTGGTATGCAGAAAATATAGACAAAATTGCAAAAATGGTCCCCGTGCTATGCATTTTTTTGGGGTTTTAACCCAAACATCGATTTTTTGAATTAGTGGTCTTTTTGAGCTAGTTTCGTTGCGTTTTTTATCCCTCTAAATAGTGAAATGACTGTAATACTCTTGAGGTATTTATTTTTTGATTTTCTTTCATTTCCTTTTAAATCTAATACTAATTTATTTATTTTAATAATTATAAAAATAATAAGGTCTCTCTCTTCCGAATCATCACCTTCATCTCACCCTCCCCCACAATTCACCTCGCTAACAAATAATGTTTTAATGGTGGCTTCTCCCCCAAAACCCACTCTGATTCTCGATGTCAACAAAAATTCTGCAATTCTTCAATGATGAAATCAAATTTGCTTCCATCTTTGTCATCATCTAAAAACCTTCTCAGATGTGTTCCAAGCCCTAGGTGAAGAAATCAACTCTGTGAGACTCACTATCGATGGATTCAACGAGTCTGAGTGGGAGTGTGTATTTTCTCACCACTGTTGACAGTGGTGCAGGTGAGCGGAGTGTGGTGTACAAGCTGCAAGTTGCTGCCATGTTCGACCTAGAAAAGGCATTCTCTCGACCATAAAAACATTTGTTCTTTCTCCATCACCATTAAAATTTCTCAATCGCCTCAATCATCTCATCGAATTGTCTGTGTCTATTGACACCAACTCTATTCCTCTCTCTCCTGCACATCAGCAGTCATTAATGGTTTGTTGTTTGTTTCGCTTCTGCTCTATCTTTTCTTCTTGTATGAATAATGATTTTCCTTCAAATGGTAGATAAAAGAAACTTGTACATCGTAATTGTCAAAATTAGGTTTCAGATAGTCAAAATTAGATCTTCACAAACCAAAACTTGTTTGTTTATTACATGCCTAGATAATGAATCGAATAGAGATTAAACCAAGTTGAGGATGAAACAAAGATTTCGTCCATCACTAACTCCAAAAATGGATTAGAAACCAAGAAAAATCAATTACAACATCATGGAGACTAAATGAGAAACACATCTCCTTCAGATGAAACCCCATCTCATTCTTCTGGTTGTAGGTTTAAAACTTTTCTCCTACTATTTGTTGGTTTTATATACATTCGTTTAAGAATATGGGTAGTTGAAGATGATGTTGATGTTGATGCTTCACTGAATCTGTATTCACTTTTGACGTGGGTTTGCCTCTTTGATCTGGATTTTTCTCATCTAATTTGCAGGTTGATTTGCAAGTGAAAAGGAAGAGAGAGAGAGAGAGAGAGAGAGAGAGAGAGAGGGCTCATTTTTCATAAATAAAATGAATAAATAATTACTAAATTTAAAAAAATGAATTTAAAAATAGAAAATAAATACCTTAGTGTAGTTGTAACATCTCGAAATATTAAGAGTAGAGTTGAAGGGCTAAAAGAGTAAATTGGGAAAGAGCGACTCGACGAGTAGAGTCGCGACTTGGTCGCGTGTTAAAGAACATAACATCTATTTCCTACTCGGCAAGTCAGTACGATGGACTCAGCGAGTAGGCGCTGAGTGGAGAAATTCTTGGGGTTGAGCCCTATATAAAGAACATAACATCTATTTCCTCAGCCTCCTTACTCATCCTCAAGTCCAGAAACCCTAACCTTTGTGTGTGAATGGATCAAGTGCATTTGGAAGCTTGGAGAAGCAATTGTTGAGGAAATCTTGAAGGGTAAGAGGCTTGGAGCAAGAGGCTTTGCTTGGATTCGAGTTTCATTGCAGTTGGGGCGTTCTGAGGTAATATCTCATTTTTGAGTTGCTATTTCTTAGATGCATCATTTTGGGTTTGTGGGGAGCTTATCTTGGGATGTTTTGGGGTTTGGAGGTTAGATCTGAGGTTGCTACCTCAGATCTGGAAGGGAGAAGGTCTAGAGTGCATGAAAGTCTCTGTTTGTGAGTGGTTGATGGAGCCATCTTGTCCCAAACCCAAACCCTAGAGTGAAAATGCATAGATCTCTTTGGATTCACGTAAAGTTTGCCACTTTACGTGATCGATGGGGTGTAGGAGGCTAGATCTATGTTTTGGATCAATTGCATGGCCTGGAGTGCTTCTGAATGGATTCAGACCGATGGTACTCGGCGAGTCACATGGGTAGACTCGACGAGTTGCTTGAAGATAAGCTGGAACTCGACGAGTTGGAAGAACAACTCAGCGAGTTGGATAAAGATGGCCTGGAACTCGGCGAGTTGTATGAACAACTCGGTGAGTAGGTTGAAGATAGCCTTAGACTCGGCGAGTCTTGTCGAAGAGTCCCTATATTTTCTGGTTGAGTCGAGAATCGGAGAGTCAAGGGATGACTCGGTGAGTTGTGTGCGAGTGGACTCAGAGTTGTGGGACTCAGCGAGTCTTGGGGTGACTCGGCGAGTTGAGTCGCGGATTAGGGAAGTTCTGAGCATGGGGACTCGACGAGTCGAAGGGTTGACTCGGCGAGCAAGGTCAACCAGGAGGGTCGACTTTGACTGAGGGCTTTGACTTTGACCAAGAGTTGACCAGTTGACTTCCAGGAGTAATTTGGTTGTTATTGGTAATTATTGGTTTCGGTGATTCAGTGGTGGAATTCGCGATGATGGTCGGAGCAGCGTGGACTGTTCTTCAGCCGGCAGTAGCAGGTGAGTCTTCTCACTATACTTTACCTTGAGTAGGTAACCGAGTTATGTGACAGAGTATTTGTATGCTATGTATGTTATGTGTTGTACTACATTATTTCTATGTGATTTATGTTGTGCATGTTTACAGAGTTGGAACCGGAGGGTTGCCAGAGTTAGAACCGGAATGTTCACAGAGTTAGAACCAGAGGGTTCATAGAGCAGGGTCCACGGACCCACGGAGCTATAGCCTCGAGTGGCTAATATGTGTTATGTGTGGTATTTTGGGGGACTCACTAAGCTTCGTGCTTACAGTGTTTTGTGTTATGTGTTTCAGGTTTCTCTCAGGATCACGGGACGGCACCAGCTCGATTGTACACATCAGAGAACGAATCATGTTTTGTGGATCCTGGTTTATTGAGCAAGTGAATATGGAGTTATGTTTTTGTAATTCGATTATGACTGGAATTTTAAGAAAAGTGTTTTTGAAAATTAACGATTATTTTCAAATGAAAAATTGTTTTGAAATTTACGGTGTTACAGTAGTAAAGTCATTTCAGTTTACAGAGGGATCAAAAACACAACCAAACTAGCTCAAAAGGACCATCAATCCAAAAAAGTCGTGATTTGGACAAAAACCCCTAAAAATGCATACCATAGGGACCATTTTTTCAATTTTGTTGAAAATATATACATTTTTAATTGTATTATGAATGGTATAGTGTGTAATCATTGGATAATCTGAATATGAGTTGTAGGTTTGGATAAATTTTTTTTTTTTCGGTGAGATTAATGGTAATTTAAACGATCCTCGTTTTTCGTGAGAGTTTGAATAGATTAATCCAGATCAAATAGAAGGAGCTAGAAATCAAGAAGAAAGAAAGAAAGAACCGTAAGAAATGGAAAATAGAGAGAGAGAAGGAGAAAGAGAGAGAGAGAGGTGGGTCCTCTCATTTTTTTAATAATTAAAATGAATAAATAATTATTAGATTTAAAAAAAAATGAACTTAAAAATAGAAAATAAATACCAAAGGGTAGTAAAGTCATTTTAGTTTACCGAGGGATCATAAACGCAACAAAACTAGCTCAAAAGGACCATTAATCCAAAAAAGTCATGATTTGGACCAAAACTCCCAAAAAAAATGCATACCATAGGGACCATTCTTACAATTTTGTCGAAAATAAATACATTTTTAATTGTATTCTGAATGTTATAGTGTAATCATTGGATAACTTGAATAGGAGTTGTAGGTTTGGATTTTTTTTTTTTTTTCGGTGAGAGATTACTTGGAATTTATACGATCCTCTTTCTTCGTGAGAGATTGAATACATGAATTTACTTCCATTCTAATTTTGTTAGTTATTACAAAATTGCAGATGTTACAATATTTTCAAAGTAATATTATCGATAATGACTATCACCAATAATCTCCACAACTACATACACCATCCTTAAAACAATGAAATCTTTTCGCATCTCTAACAATAATTTCTCTACATTCAATTCCAGATATAAACTTAATAACATTATGACAATCCACACACACCCGCAAGTTCTTCATCACTCTCAACACATCACCATCCAAAGTGCTTAGAATCCCAAATGCAATCGCCAGTCTTTCACTATGACAAAATACCATCTCCTCCTTCGTTTCCTCATCAACTTTTTCAAACACAACACTTGTTTCAGGAACATAACCTTCAACTTTCATCCGTTCTTTTACATACTTGAGGTAACTATAAATCTCTTTGGACATCAGATGTGATTGATCAAACACAAGAAACGTGTGAATTTGGCCTGTAACTTCAATGGAACTCCACCCGGGTTGCTTTTCCAACTTCAAATCTTTTATTTTTCCCCACATTTTGGCAACTTGATCCCATTTCCCACAAGTTGCATAGATGTTGGACATGAGCACATGCCATCCAGCATTAGTTGGATCCAATTCAAGAATCTTGGATACAACTCTTTCAGCCATTTCAACATTTTTATGGATCTTGCATGCAGTTAACAGCCCACCCCATATCATGGAATCGGGTTTTACAGTTATATGCTTCAGAAGGTTTTCGGCTTCATTTAATCTGCCAGCTCTACCAAGCATGTCAACCATGCAACTATAATGCTCTAAAACAGGCTTTACATTAAATTCATCAGACATTTTCTTGAAATAATACCACCCTTTTTCTACCATGCCATTGTGACTAAAACCTGACAAAACTCCAACAAATGTTATGGCATCAGGTCTTAGACCATGACTCACCATACGAAGGAAAAGAGATTCTGAAAGATGGGCAAGACCATGCATTCCATACCCACATATGATTGATGTCCACGCGATGAGATCTTTTTTTGGCATTTCTTCAAACACATGATGGGCTTCTTCTATGCTACCACATCTAGCGTACATGTTAATCAGAGCTGAACCTAATTGTACGTTCACCACCATTTGGGTCCTTATTATTTGCTCATGCACCCATCTTCCCTGTTGTAAAGCACCCAAAGAGGCACATGACTGAAGTACCCTAACCATGGTAATGGTATCTGATGGGATCCCCAACTTCTTCATTTCATTAAAGAGTGATAAGGCATCATCGAACTTCTCATCCAGTACAAACGCAGCCATCAGGGCGTTACAGCTTGCGGTTTTCTTCACTGGCATTTCATCGAACAGTTGGCGTGCGGAACTTAAATCGCCGCACTTCCCATAGACGTCAATAAGAGCGGTGATAACAAACTCGTTATACTCGCAACCGAACCACAAAACATCAGTATGAACCCTTCGACAATCTTTAACCGACTTCAACCCAGCGCAAGCGGGCAGCACAAATGTAAACGTGAAGGCATTCGGTTTGTATCCACTTCGAACCATCTCGTAATAAAGATCGATTGACTCTCTGTAACGACCTTTCCTTGCATAACATTTGATCCTCTCATTCCAAAGAAACAAAGGTGGGTTCTTGATGATGCTGACAACAAATCTTTCTCCAATATTCAGGCAACCAAATTTGAGGTAAGCGTGAGCTAGACGTGTCAACAGGAATATGTTCCGGGAGAAGTGAGTCTTGAGAATCTCAGCGTGAAGTTTATGAAGTTGATCAACAGAGGCACGGGTTTGGAGGGTAGAGATGTAGAAATTAAGCCCCTTTGGTGGTGTTGTGGAGACCGCTTTAGGTGCAGACAATTCTTGTGAAGCCGCGGAAGCATATTGGGAAATCTGACGAGTTCTTAAGCGGATCGGCTTCAGGAGTAGCATACACTTGATGTAACTCGAAAGCATCAGCACATTTGTTCCCTATAAACAAGCTTTTGTAAGTTTGTATTATTTGCGCTGCATTGATATACATATGGCACCCATAAACTACTTAAAAGTAATCGTCTCTCTCCTTTGTTCAAAATTGTATTTTTTAACTTGGATCATTTTTAATGGGTGTTGCTTCTAAAAATAGCTTATTAATTTTTCAAAAAACTAATAAGTTCAAAAAAATATTCAGGCATCTAAAAATAACTTTTGAAAAGTTTTTACATAGACAAAATATGGAGCTTTCTAAAAGCTAGAAAATCATGATTTTTTTTTTATTACATTTCAAGGTTTTTAACAGCAAAATTACAAAAGTATTTGGGCATTTAAAATAGCCTTTGAGACTGTTTTTTGAAGCTTTTACATAGACAAAATTTAGAGCTTTCTAAAAGCTAAAAAATCATTGGTTATATGTTTAACTGTGAAACTATGAAAGTGGTTATATGTGTTTGAATTGCCTTGGTTTGATGTTAGTTGTGTTAACTGTTAGTTTGTTTACATCTTCATATTATGTAATTCTCAAATAATGGATGAAAACTACACTAATGTTGTTAATTGTGAACCATCTAAAAAAGAATAGAACAAAATGTGTGGGATAGTAAAACCTTGAAGAAGTTCGTTGATGTGTGCATGATTGAATTTAATAAAATGAATAGAAACGGTGGTCACTTCAATAAGATTGGGTGGGAGAAATAGGAAAACATATGAAGGAAAAAACAGGGAAACCTATGACAAAATACAACTTAAAAACAAATGGGACAACATGAAAAAAGATCGGAACCTTTATGACCGGTTAATGAGGCTTGAAACTGGAATCGGTGGGACGAGAAGCTTAATAGATGCATGGCCTGAATGGTGGGAGGAAAAAATAAATGTATGCTTTACTATTCTTTTTAATTATTTTATGTTATGATTGCATAGTGAAATCGATGAATTAAATATTGTTTATTTTGTAGACGAATAAAGACTGTGCCAAATTTAGGGACGCGGATTTGAGCATGTTTTACACTAAATATGTTCTTTTGTTTTGAGATTTTGTTGCCACTGGAAATCAGACTATGACTCTGTTAGAGTTTCAAATGAAGAAAATATGGAGAGCAAATGAGATAGTGATGAAATCAATTTAGATTATGAAGAACTATTTTTTATCGGTTTCCTTGAAAGTAGTTCAGGTAAACGGAAGAAGTCTAAGAATGTCGGCAACCGATCAACCAAGAGTAAAACTTCAATTTATGAGGAAAAAGTAGATGCTTTATTGGATGCCATATCAACGAAAAGCACACAAACGTTTCCACAAAATAATTCCTCTCCTACAATATCACATTACATGGCGGTTGTCATGAAGTTTTCCGGTTTCAATGAAGGTTCCAAAGAGTATTCACAAGCATTGTTTGTCTTCACCAAAAACCAAAATTGTGAAGCTTTTAAGTTTCCAATGACTGATGAAGCGAAGATGGAGTTCCTTAAGTTACTAATAAAATAATGATTTGTGTTATCGTTTGACATCATGTGTTATGACTTTGGCTCATGGATGTAGCAATAGATGTGTTCAATAATTTTTTTAATCATTCCGATGAAACGATTCATAGGCTTTTCCATTTATTTTTGGCATTTGTACTAAAGATGAGTGTCAACATCATCAAACCAGCCGAAAAATATAATGATGATGTTCCAAAACATATATTAGACAATCCTCGATATCATTCGTTCAAGGATTGCATTGGCGCTATAGATGGGACACATATAAAGGCATCAGTTCCATAAAAGGAGGAAATGAAGTACATTGGTTGAAAGGAATATGCTACAAAATATATAATGGGTTTTTGTGATTTTAACATGTATTTTACATTTGTGTGGGCCATATGGGAGGGGATTGAACATGATACAACAATTTTCAATGAAACCTTACAAAGACCGAATCTTCATTTTCCACATCCAAGGGGTGGTTAATGTAATTTTTTTATACACACAAGTCTTATGCTTTTAATACTTTTTTGAAACGGATAACAAATCTTTGTTTTATTTACAGATAAATAGCATGTTGTTGATGTCGGATACCCAAATATTAAAGGGTATCTTGCTCCATACAATGGTACTAATATTCGATATCATATACCAAATTTTTGACGTGGACAGACTGCTACTATGCATACTCCTTGTGGATCGAAAGAGACATTTAACTATCACCACTCATTATTGCGAAATATCATTGAAAGAACTTTTGGAGTATGGAAAGCTATGTGGGTGTTATTAAGAGACATGCATCTTAATTGCAGGTACAAGAACCAAGGGCATATTATGATAGCACCGATGGTGATACATAACTATATTAGAAAGGCTAGTAGGTTTGATGAAACATTTAACAAGGCACAACAAGAATACTACAATCCCACAAGAGGTGACGCTAGTAGTGAAGGTCATGAAGAAAGTCCATTTACACATTGCACGAATAATGATGATTCGTATATGGAAGCGATACAGGATATTATTGCACAACATATAATGGAATGGTATGGATGAATGTAATATTATGTTACTTATGATATTTTTATGAATTATTTACAATTTTGATTTCTACTTTTGTATAAACTCCATTTTAGTATTATTATTGTATAATAAAAAAAACTATTTACTTTGTAAAAGAAATTGGTATTATATATTTTTTTAAAAAGAAAAGGTTTAAAAATTATCAATTTTGGGTAAAAAAATTGTTAACTGTGGAATATTATCTGATAAATGGTTCTAAATATATAACTATATCCTTTTTAGTCATTTTACACCTAAAAAGATAAGCAAAATACTTTTTAAAACCAACTTATTGGATTTTCAGCTTTTCCTACCTCAAAAGCTAACTCAAACACTTTTTAAAAACTGTTTTTTAGAAAGCCATAAGCTAATAAACATATTTCCTAAAAGCGTTGTTGTGATAAAAAAAAAAAAAAAAAAAAAAAAAAAAAACACTCCCTAACATACCCTAAACTTTTTTGGGACTTTCATCCAAGAAAAGATTATTTTAGTCTTTTAGACTCTTTTCATATTTTATATAATTATTATTAATATTATTAAAATATTTGGGTCACACATCCATCACGCCCCCGTGGTTAAGCAAGTTGTTGTCTTCCATCGATTTCATAAAGTTTCTATATTTGACTCGAAGTTCGATTCCAGAGTTTTTATCATCTATAAAATCATCCACTGATTTTATCTGAATATACAATCATCCTCTTATAAAATAAATATTTATATTTATAGAAATTTTAATTGTCACGGGTTCTTCATTCTTACAAATATCAACACTTACTATATATATATATATATATATATATATATATATATATGCGGTGCGGTTTTGCGGTTTTTGCAAGACTAGAAACCTCACCGCACCAAACATTTTCGTGTTTTGCAAAACTAAAAACTTCACAGTTAGTTTTTATTTCGGTTTCGGTTTATGCAAACTCCTTTGAGAATATTTATAAAGGTTTCCGGGAGTGTAATTATATGTTATCTTGTATTGTATGTCATGTGTATAATGTGACTAAGATTTGTAAAAGGGAACTTTGACGTACTTTTACGTAAATTATTGGAAATAATAATTAAGAGAATATGTCCAAGATAAGTGGCACATCAATATATAATAAGGGATATTTATAATTAAATAAAGTTTATAGTTGGGTATATGATGTAGTTTTCTATTCCACTATGTGTAAGTATTGATGATCCCTTTTAAAATGTGAGTTATTACATGGGAATATTGACCTAATATGCAGGAGGATATTAGGATTGTAACCGTTAAAGTTTCTCTTTTAGCATTTTATCCGATAATGCTCTAGTAACGGAAAAGGTAGTTAAGTGCAGGAATGGTTGTTGCTTTTCTTCTTATGATGGTTGCACTCTCTTGTGCGTATCGCTCGAATGTAGTTTATAATAGACTTTGTGTACTATTCTAGCATGGTATTTAATGACCAAAGATTGGATGTGGGGGTATACGTTTGAACTATGTATTGAGAATTACTCATGTTAAGAGTGCTAAGATGAATGGTGTAGCTTGCAACATGAATAGAAATGGTAAAACATATGTAGTACATATAGTGCTATATATTATGCATATCGAAAGAGAAATGTTCTTGCAGATGTATGATAAGGAAACAATTATAGTTTTACCACAATTGAGATTAATGGTCAAGTTAAGATTTAGGTATGGTGGAAACACCAATTGTATACCTGAATATGAATGATATATATGTATAGAACCACTTTTACATAAAGAAAGCTAAAAAAAAAGGTATATTTAAATGATTGTTCCATGTAGGACAAAATATGAGAAATACTACCAAGTACATAAAATGGGCTATATTAGGTTAAGAATGTATTAGGATATGCTGTAATATCTATTGCAAATGGATTGGTAAAGAAATTTTATTAGTTAAATAAGAATGCAAGAAAATAGCAAAGTAGATTGTTATATTGTGTAATGTGAGTTAGACTAGAAATAACCATGAAAGAAATCATGGAATTAAATAAAGGATGCCCATGAAACTTTTGAAAATATTTTGAGAACAAAATCATTTTAAGGAGGAGTTGCTATTACATCCATAAATTTTGAAATAGTTGTCTATAGGTGAATAGTTGACCAAAATGGGTAATTTGGTCATTTGTATGAATATCATGAAAATTAGTTAAAATACATTTAAGTCATTTTTAGGATAGGGTATAAAGTTGGTTCAAGTGAATAACATCGTGAAGCAGTGCAATGGGACCATAGGGGTAAAATGGGGATATTTATGATATGTATTGCCAAATTTGTGGCTTAATAGGTTAATACCTATAGTCATAAGTGACTTTATAGAGTTGTAAAGCTCATTCCCACCTTTGTGTGGATATAAAGTTCATGGAAAATAGACTTAAGATGAGGAAATGATGCATTATTGATGTTTTGAATAGAAAATGGGCAAAGG